CGTCCTCCTCCCATTTTCACCTCAAAATTTTGGGGAATCTGTGCCTCCCCTGCCTCCCCCGACGAGCAGCCACGGCTCCCGACATCTGAGCCGCTGAAGACGCAGAGGATTAACGTTACTTTCGTTTTTGAAGGGAATGCGCCGATCCTGATCTGCCTAAAAGCTTTAAGTTTGCGCGAATCATTCGTGATCCAGCTTCATCTACAGAAGAAGTGAGTATAAGGTTTTTTTTAATGAATCTTTGCAAATCGCCTTCCCTAATATGTGCTAGTCAGCAAGTTTTGCGGCTGAAGTTTACAGTCTGCTCGCCACCCCACGGAAGAGAGGGGCGGGGTCAGCAGAGCTCATTAGCATTTAAAGCAACACTGACTAGAACGGCGTGCTGACAACAGAGCTGATTTTGACAGGGTAAAAAGGGTGTTTTTTTACACTACCATTGAGAAATTTTAACCAAAGTATGTTATAGGCTTTTCATTAAGACCCTAAAGAATCATATCAACTTGTGGAAAATGGGCATCCGATGACCCCTTTAAAAACACAAAGAAATTAAGAACTTGGTGGCACTGTAACAGGAAAAAAATGGCTAGGCTATTACTGTTTGTTGCAAACTCAAGTGTCTTATATCATTGGAATCACTGAACAGCTTGAGTTCAGTGGCACTGTAAAGTCTAAGTCTAAGTATAACAGACATTCACCCATTTGCGACACCACAATGAAGCGCTGGAGTTTTCCATAGATCCCTAAAAATGGTTCATTTCAGAGCCCAGACCACTATGGTTTTCAAATGACTTGTCAGTATGGATCGGCCTACTCTCATTCATTCATTTTCTTGAGCAGTGGAGCGACAGAGAATATGAAAATCCTTTTGCTCAGGAGGACAGTGAAGACATGAAAATGAGCTTTGAGAAATGCAGTCTTCTGAGTATTGTTGCCATGCCAACAATCTAACGCTCGAGTTGATTCACAGAGAAAAGCCTACATGCTCACTAGTTGTAATGCTGCGGGGATACAGTAAAATATAGGTTAGAGGTTTATGTTTTGCATTGGTATTTTAAGAGTAAAAATATGAATAAACCATTTAAATATCATTTTATGGCCCTTGTGAGCTCTATCCAGGGTGCTGAAATATGTCTCATAGTATATATAGATTGAGAGAGAGAGATATTATTCATGCAAGGCAGGTGCGTCATTACCATAATAAACCCCTACTTAGCCTTCATTCAAACATAATTCATTCAAAGGAAGTATCGGAAAGGCAACAGGTGGGGCACGGTGACGAACTACTTCCGGCATCTGGAGACCGAGGACAGACGAGCTGAACGTGACGTGCGCTCAGAGGCGTCATGCCCATTCAAAGTGAGGCACGTGCCCCCTTATGGAGCTAATATTATAACAAAACAATTTGAATTTGAATAAGAACTACAGTTGACAGCATATACAAACAATCTATAGTTGTTGTTTTTTTCAATGCAACATTTTTTATTCTTATTAAATGGATGCATCATCTTTCACATTAAATTCTCACATTGTGTCAATTAATTCAGTTAGAATAATAAGAAACTGTGGAGTTGTTCAAATGAAATTAGTATCAACAAACTCCATCTTTACACTGCAGAGGAAACAGAAGCTGCATCTGAAGTGGCATTAGATGTATCAAAGTCCCTTTAAGGGATATTCTATAGTCTTTGGATGTATTTACACAGACTGTTTCATGAAGCTGAGGTGTCAAAGTGATTTATTACACCACAAAATTGCAGATACACGAATAATTTTATAAGATTAATGTTTTAAATATAAAAAAAAAATACAAATAAGAAATGTTGGGAAAATGCAAGGTACTTTTAAATGTGAAAACCAAACCACAAGTAGGTGGCGGCAAATGACTGTTTAAATAAGTGAGTCATTTAGTCATTCAATTGATTCGTTCAAACGGCTGATTCATTCGGAAACGAGGCAAGTGACTGTCTTTATGAATGGGTTCATTAAATGAGCAAATGATTCAGTAACCCATTCATAAAAACAGTCACTTCCCTCTGTTGCAGTAGTGTTGATATTCGGGGAAACGTCCTAAAATTTCGCTTACCTAAATCATATATTATCAATATATTTTTTTCTACCGCAGTATGCATCTATAACTTTCTGTGAGTGCTGTTGCACTCAATTCTTTTGATTTCTGCACGAGTCTCTTTCACATACTCAGGCTATGCAAGCCTCATCTGGAAACGGATGAGCAAACGGATTCCCCGTTCTATTTCTGGCATAGTCCAAGCTCTTTACAACGGCCGCTTTGTCATTTCAAGCTGTTGCGGCGCGGCGCAGTCGCGTCTAGTATAGACACGGTGGCATGCTAATCACTTTTACACCAAATATACTTTAAAACAAACACCAGAGACCGCTTAAACAAATGTTTCACATGCTGGGAACGCTAGCATAATATCTAAATATAAACCATAAATGCTTAAAAATCACTTACCTCTGGGCGATTCATGATCAGGCAGAAGAATGGCGACCTTCTGAGCCGCACGCTCGCGCCAGAAAACTACTGCAGCTCTAATTGGCCAAAATGCTTTGTTCCACTTTTCGGAGATCATCTACTCTTCCCTGTGAATGACCTCTGACCTACTTTCTGTACGATCTGAATTTCTGCGTTTTGAATTTTAGAAAATTGAATTTGATGTTCCGAATTTCTTCTTCATCTTGAAAACTTGAAGCTGTATTTTTAAAAACTGGATATTTGCAGTCTAAGAATTCAGAACAAAAAAATCTGTTGTTTGAAAATACATGTCTATAAAACTCTGCCTTAAAAAAAATAATTTGTGTTAAATTTCAAATGTTAAATACTCAAGTAAAAAAAAATTCAAATTTAAAATCAAAATCAAATTCAAAACGATTTTAAATCCCACATAATATTCAGTTTTGTTAAATAACACTTGTCAATAATTCAAATTTAACACAATTCAAATTCAAATTGTTTTGTCATAATATTAGCTCCATACACCCCCTCAGATTTCTGAGCCAAGTGCATTTTGAATGCAGCTTCCAAAAGACAAAAATAGCGGAGTCATATTTTTTTTATTTGATACAATCGCACCGGTGTGATTAGCTCGTTCAGTGCGGCACAGCATCTGTTGCTAAATTCAAATCTGCGTTCGCTGGCTGACGCTGCGCCAGAGACAGACGCGTTTTTACAGCGCTGCGCATTATAACCAATCACACACGATTCTGTTGAGCTTAGGAATGCGATGGCCAATCAGAGACGTTCAGATGAGTTGTCGCTGAAACGCGGTGTTTTGCCTTCATCAGAAACAACAGAGTGCAGATGTGCGTACTAAGATATTCATTTCACATTGTAAACAGCTTCAGTGATTTTAATGGAAGTTTTTGAGAGTGCCTCTGGCTAGACTGAATGAAAATGTTCTTTGATAATGTAAATGTTCTTTGTAATAGATTACACTATTAGTCTACTTTGCCCATCACCATTGATCAAATAACATAATCTATAAAGGTGTAAAACGCATTTACTTACACATATTTGAGAATTTAGATATTTCCAGATATAGGCTAGTTAACAAGTTTGAAAATATTTCGAATAAAAAAATAATAAAACATAAGCTTGGACTCATTTAACTTACAACAATTACAAACCATGGTTCACTGCAAAACTCAGACAGCTCTGTCAGGCCAAAGAAGATGCTTACAGGAAGGGGGACAATGTCTTGTATAAATAGGCCAAATACACACTGGAAAAGGAGATCAGAGTGGCAAAGACCACAGTTTTATGTAGGCTAAGCTGTAAGCAACACGAAGTTCAAGTTTTTAAGTTGTATATAGGCCTAGCTGTGATTTTACTATTCTCATAAAATTACAACGATTATTGAAATTTCATAAATATAGTTAGGTTATCGTTTTTTTTCACAGCTAGTATAGGCCTATACTAAATAGACACACTCAAATAATATTTTCACACTTTTTGCATCTAGCCTACTGGGAAAAAAAATACAGATTGACTGGAAATTAGGAATAATTTATTTTATTTTGTCATGTTCTTCACTGACACTGTTGTTACTAACGTTTGCAAAGACTATCTGGGACAAAACTATTTGTTATGGTGGAAATTAAACCTTTAAACCTTCAAATGAATATTGAAACTATATAACTTCTATAGCTTAAATGTTTATTTCATTTTCATATCATGTTTATTTCACTATTTTTTGCTTAAATAAGCAATGTTTCAAAAAAGTAACATTTAATACTTTTTATTTTAAGATTGGAAATCTGGGTCTGGGATAAGCGTAAAAAATCATGCATATTAATAAAGTATGTAAAAAATGCATTTGAAAAGTGACAACAAACATTAATGGGAAAGGAATGGGTAAAATGTACTAGACTGTGTGTGACCTTTATTAACAAAAATATACATAGGCTATGTTTTAAGAAAGAAAAACATTATATAGAATCATTATATTTTACGGGTTTGAAACAACATAAAGGTTTAAAAATAAAAAATAAAATAAAAAAGGTTTTAAAATTTTATGAATTTGAAGTTTATGAATTAATTTTACGAATGGAGACGTTAGGGCAGATCAAAAATCTCCAAAATATTATATTTTAATAAAAAATTAACCCCTACGACAAAAATACCCAAAGTTGAAACATAAGTTACACATAGGCTATAAGCCTCTTGCAGCAACATGTAACGGCACAATAAAGCTTGCAGTATAGAGTTGTTGAGATCTAAAGTGATCTCCATATATCAGGTCTTAAGATCTTTTCCTCTTTTAGCTTCCAAACCACAGGCTTTCCAAAGACCCCAGCGAACACCGTGCGTCACATACAAAGGAGCGACTGCAGAGCGCCGTTCAGTGTTTCCTCTCGCCAATTTCAGCTTTCGCCTGATGGGGCCACCCTTGCACCTCTTGGAGTCCCCATCTCTCTCTCTCTCTCCTAAACACACACACGCCCGGATGATGACTTCACTGTTCCGCGCGGGTTTCCTTTATGATCGCGGGATGTCCCGTATCTTACAGCAGACTTCACCCGACCGCTGATGTAGCCGTACACTCAGCTGCGCTCTCTCTCTCTCTCTCTCGCTCGCTCTCTCATTCTGCACCGAGCACTCCAGTCCGTTTGGAAGTTGGCGGTGCGAGGAGTCTGACATTTACGCGCGGGGATATCTACGCAAAAAAACAAAACAAAAACAAGTGCACTTGTTTTGCGGGGATAGTTGCCATATCCACCGTAGCTTCCTACATACATCAGTTCTTTTGCGTCTTCTGCGTCGCGAGCCCGTCCTTCAGCAGTCATGTCCGAGGTTCTGCCGTACGGAGAGGGGAAAATGAGCGGATACGGAGCGGACAACGATGTCAGTCAGATGTCCTTCAGCTGCGGGCTGCAGGACACCAACTCGTTCTTCGGAGCGTCGCAGGCGAAAAGACCTCCAAAACTTGGACAGATCGGCAGAGCGAAGAGAGGTGAGAATGTTACCTGATTGAAGATAACTTACTGAAGTTAAAGGAATAGAGACTTGCGTTTTCACTCACTTTTTCTTCCGTGCAACATAAAAGATGTTAGATGCCTCGATCACCGTTCACGTTCATTGCACGGGAAAAAAATATGCAGTAAAAGTGAATAGTGATCTAGCCTGTCAGTTCATAACACTTAATAAAAAAATCCATACGGGTTTACAACATAAAGACGAGAAAATTACAGAATGCATTTAAATGCATGCATATTTTGACAGTTTGACATTTGTAAAAATGTCTTCCTCAATATGTTGGCTAAATAATAGGCTATTTCATGCAACCCGACTGAGAAATTACCCTTTTAAGTGATATTGTTTCGCATTTAATATGCATTTTAACGCATTTGAATGCGTTTGATGTGTGTCTAGTCTTGTTGCGCAGTTTCAAAGCGCACAGAACACACATGCTAGATTGACGAAGTCTTGACATCAGCTGTCTGTCTTCTTCTTTCCAGTGGTAATCGAGGACGACCGAATAGATGAGGTGCTGAAAGGCATGACCGACAAATCATCACCGGGCGTTTAAACCCGCACGATGCCTTGCAGACATTTCAATTTTTTATCACCGATTCGAAGCACTTGTCGGTTGTGCATGTGAAGAAGATTGCAAAGAGATGGAGAGACGGTGGCACGACGCTCGAACCACGAGGAGACTAAACTAAAAAGGGCAAACGCGAATAAAAGAAGGGAGAGACGGAATTTCCGTTGGGGTTTTTGCTGGCAGTTCTCCAATATAAACGACAATGGAAGCTTAGAGGAAGATGTCGGAGATGTTGTTGAGGCTGCGCGCTGCGGCTCATCTGTGAATAAGGATGGTGGACTTGCCATTATTATTCCACGACCATCATCTTCCAAAAGCGCTGTAAGCAACACGAAGTTCAACCGAAGACTGAACCGCATCTTACGCTCTGTTACTATAGATGTACAGTATCTTAGCTCAAAGACCTTCCTCATAACACACAAACACGCACACGCGCACACACATATATGGATCTGCCTTGAGCGTCGACTTCAATCCGACTGCTGCTTTTAGAGACATTTTAGACTTCACACGCAAAGACATTGAGCTCCCATAATGATAAATGAACTATGTACGGATGGTGCAATGTGAATATTTTCTTTCGCTATTTTGCATCATATTCTTTTTTCAGAAATTGAGAATATTATCATACACATGCCCACAGGTGTTGAAGCGTCGTCTGGTGATCTATATGTTTTGCCCTTCACTGCAGCACGGATTCACATCATCAGTACAAGCACAGAGGAACATTGTGCATTACCACCTCTTGTAATTAACCCAACATGAAGGCATCTTGATTTCTTCCAAGCTTAATTTTATACATTTCAAATTTTTTTTCATCAGCTCCTCACATTTCTTTTGTCGTGTCCATCTCTTTGCATGAACTTTCACTCCGGTGCCAACAGAGGTGCCACCATGAATCTTACCCTGGCACGCTTCTTTTTAAAAAATAAAGTCAAGTCCATCAGACAGTCACTCAAGCGCAGTCAAGGACACTCAGCTTCACCATCTCAGTCTATTAATACACCTTCATGGCTGTTGCAGTGTTCCTGAACGGCTCCAATGCCCAGGGGAATCCTTAGCGCTTCACACATGCTGCTCAGAGCTGGAGATTGCTGATACACTATCTGAACAGACAGGCGGCCCACGGCAGCTCTGGAGTGACTGAGCGACGCTGTGGCCTGACCCAATATGGAAAGCCCAACTCTCGGCAGATAATGACAGCATGATAACGGAGGAAAGAAGGAGAGATGACATTCGATTCTCAAAGAATGAGCTCTGCTGGAAGAAATGAAAAGCACATGAGAGAGAAAGACATTTGATTTAAAAGCATTGTCCTTGATTCATCCCAGTTTGTAGCTTTCATTTGGTGCTACTTTGATCTCCATCATTAGCGATAATAACATATTTTCTTGCAGTAAACTCTCATTTAACGCCACTGTGAGTCAAAGTGTAAGTGTTTGAACTGGCTTGTATGAACCATAAATATGCACAGATTCACATTCAGCCACAGAGGAATTGATGTCAATGTCATACTGCCAAACCAAATACTCATACTTTTGGCATTTTTTACTTTTAAAGAGCATTGTAGATAGAAAACAGGAACTGATGAGCAAAAGATGGTTGAATGGCATCTGGAAACGTTGCAAACCAGATTCTCATTCATTACATGGCTCAGTGTGGCTCTGCTTACCATGATTATCCAAGGACAAGATCCTGGATACACATCCTGGTTGGTTGTAGTACAACTTTCCTGTCAACCAATCATGTTTTAGTATTGGGTTTAGGGATTGGCTTGGGACTTAACATTCATCCTATCATTTCGCTTTGAGTTTAGGAGTAGCTCGTGGAATAGGAATAGGAATTTTGTTCCAGAATCTGCAGTTCATCATTAAAATAACTTTTGTATGTTGCACCATTATGCAATTAAAGAGATACATGCCAGGAATGACCTGAAATCCCCATTATACTGAATATACAGCAAATGAATTTGAACTGAACCGGCCACAGCATTAAGTAAGCTGAATTGGAAATGACAGAAAGAGAAAATTAATGGATTGCAATGCATTGTTGGTGTTTCAGGTTGGTGTTCAACCTGGAACACAAGTTTGAAGAACACAAATACAAGTAAACTACAAGTTCATCTATCAAAAATCAATTTATCCATCTAAAATCCATCCATCCATCCAAAACCAGACCCAGAACAACATGTGCAAACCATATTAAAAGCAAACAAATTGACTTAAACCAAAAAATAGTTTGTACCAAATTTGCCAATATGGTAACACTTTAGTATAGGGACTAATTCTCACTATTAATTAATTGCTTATTAGCATGCCTATTATTAACATTGTCTGTTTATTAGTACTTATAAAGCACATATTCTGGATGACCATATTCTACATCCCTAATCCTACCCAATACCTAAACTTAACAACTACCCAAGTTACTAACTAAGCAGCAAATTAGGAGTTTATTAAGGCAAAAGTCATAGTAAATGATTTATTAATAGCAAGAATTGGGCCTTAAAATGAAGTGTGACTGCCAATATTTGTAATATATGCCCATTTTTGGCTATATTCAACATCAGAAACGGGTCAATTTTATAGAAGCTTATGTCAGTTCCAAAATATAGTTAATTTTGAGAAATAGTGAAGTGTGGCCAAGTATGGTGACCCATACTCGGAATTTGTGCTCTGCATTTAACTCATCCAAGTGCACACACACACTGTGAACACATACCCAGAGCAGTGGGCAGCCATTTTGCTGCAGCGCCCGGGGAGCAGTTGGGGGTCCGGTGCCTTGCTTAAGGGTCTCACCTCAGTCGTGGTATTGAAGGTGGAAGAGAGCGCTGTACATTCACTCCCCCCACCGACAATTCCTGCCGGACCTGAGACTCAAACCCGCAACCTTTGGGTTACAAGTCCGACTCTCTAACCATTAGGCCCATGTAAATATGTAAACATTCATGTTTGTGTTATCGTTAAACCATACTATTTATTTATAAGCATTATATGACCTAGGTCTCTAGAGATAAAAAAAAAAAAAAAAACCTGCCTCAGTCGAAATTTAAATTACAATTTAATTTAGATTTTTCAACTCGTAACATAACCCTGCACATAACAGAAATATGCTGTACTGAGGATAACAGAGTTAGCTAAACTGTTTTAAACAAATGAATTCAATCAGCCAATTAGATTTTGAAGTGCTGACCTCTGCTCCAAAAATGTCCCTGCTTTGACCTTATGAACAGTAGTGACCAAACACACAGACACGTCTCTAGGGTAAACATTGCACTAAGCTGCATTACACACAGTGTTGTCAGTGGAGCTGGCTGGCTGTGAGCAGGGGTTCATGTGTCTGCTATCAATACCACAGCCTATGTTGTTGCTGCCGCTGCTGGATGATGTAATGGTGTGTCCTGACACCGCCCCCTGCTCAACAACAGAACAGAAACATGAGCTTTGATGAACAGACGGATCTCAATCTTTGATTAATGATATTGAAGGGTCAAATGATCATTTCTGATTCTTTTCTTGTGTGTGCGCAATAACAGTGACTCATGAAAACGATCTGTCTGTACACTAGAGGCAGGGATGCACCAATGGGGTCAAGGTTTGGCAGGTTAGCCGGTCTGTTTAGCCCCTGCTGGTAGATGTCGTAACTACACCATCTGGACCTAAAAAGCTTAATTCTCTATTGACAATTATTCAAAAGCAGCTCTGGGCAAAATTCTGAATTAAAGAACAGGTTCACTTTCAATTCATGATGAGTGTGAATTTTAGTTGAATCTGTCTGTCTGTCACCCAACCAACCAACCATATGTCTGTCTGTCTGTCTATCCATCCGGCTATCTATCCATTTATCCACCTATCAGTCTGTCCTTCTCTTTGTCTATCTGCCCTTCTATCCATCCATCTATCTGTTTGTCTGTCTATCCAACTAACCATCTATCTCTCTATCTGCCCGTCTCTCCATCCATCCATCCGTCTGTCCGTCCTTCGATCCATCTACTACCCATCTGTCTGTTCATCTGCCTGTCTATCTATCATCCATCCAACCAACCATCTGTCTGCCCATCCATCCATCTATTAATTTATCCACCTATCTGTCGGTCTATCCTCCTCTCTGTATATCTGCCCATCTATCTATCCATCCAACTAACCATCTATCTGCCTGTCTCTCCACCCATCCGTCCGTCCATGCATCATCCATCCATCCATCTATCCAAATTAATTAAATCTCAAGGCTTTTTAAAAAAAAAATTAAACTTTCAAACAAGGCATTATTGTTGTCAATAACAACAACGTTCATGACATGCAGAATTAAATTTGCTGAGTACCATACAAGAACAGTTCCAGTTCTTCTCCAAGACAACAGCTCAGAAAATATCTCACAAATACACTTCTGAAATTACTCAATCAATTATTCAAAAGCACATTATTGAATATCATGGTCTTAAATGTCAATATGAAGTAAAGCTTGCGTGTGGGTTTGCATTGCGAGGGGGTAAACAACACATAACCAGCCATTAGACTAATCAGGGTCTCCTGTTCTCCGCAGCAGCTTTATGGTGTTTAGGCAGCACTTGGTTCCTGAAGAACTGCCACACACACAGCATGTCATAAGGATACGATCACAGAATAAATCTACACCCGATACGTACGGCTCACCTGATACCAGCGTCCATCTGATACAGTCCCTGCCCTGACGTCATTGCTTAGTGCTTCAGTGAAGGGGAAAGACCTGTGACTACATTATCAGCTTTCACAGATAACACATTAAATCAACTCTGAACTAAAAGTTTATGAAACTGCTACTGGTATATGAACCGCTACTATTTAATGGTGGATTTTGCCAAGTAAGACATGTTTCTGGATCAACATTTTTGTTGATCCTGGATCAACATTACTGTCCAAAAATACAGACTTAACCCAATCCCCACCCCTAAACCTTACCCATAATTTATTCCTAAAATCAGAGGGAAATGATAGCTGATTAACAAGGGTGTAGAAGCACATAATCCTGATTGTAAGCCTAAACTGACATTTCCTGAAAAGTTCTCTCTCAATTCTGATTGGAATTCTCTCTCGGTTGATTGGAATGATGTGCAGGATCAACAAAGATGTTGATCCAGGAACATGCTGTACTTGGTCAAATCACGCTCACCGTTTAATGGTACATGCTCACCATTACTTTTTCACAGCGTTAGGGCTTCAAAATCCATCACCTTCTGTTTTAATATGGGTGCGTAACTCATCCCACCTGGACACGAAGAGTTCCTCAAATTGCACAAGTTACAGAGAAGAGGTGCGCTATTACTGTTCCAAACAATCAAACTGATGGTTTTTGCCTGGAAGACAATAAAATGGATGAAAAAATCCCATAGATTTACCCAAGGCATATTTAGGGATACTATATCTCTTTTGGGGTGGCCTTTTGTGTAGAAACAACCTAGGAACCACTTGCAACATTCTAAAAAGAACTCGTAAAACCTTGGCAACCACCCACGACATAGTGTGTGTTTAAATATGTTTTGGTTTCTCCTGGTTCAAGAATAACTTTCCTCTATTTACTATAAAAATCTATCTATGTTCACACTGGCACACAGGAAGCTGTTCTGAAATTCAGGCACCTTCCTCAAGCCTTAAAAATAGACGGTAATTACATTCCAGAGCTAAATTAAAAATAAATGATTTCTGGTTTATTAATGGCCTCCTCCGATTCACTGCAGCCGTTCCTCATCCAAAAGAGCACAGACACGTCTGTCATATTCTGGCACACAGCAGGGCTGTTTGTTTTCTGTCTGTCTGTTTATTTGTTG